GGACCCTGATGGTCTCCCCAGCCACAAGCCCTGGGGTCTTTGAGGGTAGTGGGCAAGCTGGGGACATGTTGGGAGGGCTTGGGGCTTCCAGAGGGCAGCTATGACCACCTGGTATATGGCCTCATGGCCAGGCATCCCTGCTTCCTCCAGCCCCAAGGATGTGGGAAGGGGATGAGCTGGAGGGGGCTGGTGACCATGACCACCCCACATCCTGCTGTTCCACAGGCCAAGACAGAGGAGCAGATAGCAGCTGAGGAGGCCTGGTATGAGACCGAGAAGGTGTGGCTGGTGCACAGGGATGGCTTCTCCTTGGGTGAGTCCAGGGGTCAGCCTGGTGCCACTGGGACACACAGGGCACCCCATCCTTCCCATGGCACTGCGAGTCCTCTGGCCTGGGGGGGGCTGCTGGCAAAGCCCTGCTGAGCCCCCCCCTGCCTCTCACAGGCAGCCAGCTGCGGCCAGAGGAGGGCAGCCCCCTGCCTGAAGGCAAGGTGAAGGTGAAGCTGGACCATGATGGAGCCATCCTGGAGGTGGAGGAGGATGATGTTGAGAAGGTAGGGCTGGGAAGTGGGGGGCAGAGAGGCAGACCCCCATTTCCCACCTGACCCCCCCTCCTTCTCACTGCCAGGCCAACCCCCCCTCCTGTGACCGGGTGGAGGACCTTGCCAGCCTCCTGTACCTCAACGAGTCCAGCGTCCTGCACACGCTGCGGCAGCGCTATGGGGGCAACCTGCTGCACACCTACGCCGGCCCCACCATGGTCATCGTCAACCCGCTGAGCTCCCCCTCCATGTACTCTGAGAAGGTGACAGGGGGGACACCAGAGGGGACTGGGAGCTGTGCCACCGCTCTGGCGGGGGTGGCAGGGTGCTGACCTTCTCCTACTTCCTCCGCACCCCACCAGGTCATGCACATGTTCAAAGGGTGCCGCAGGGAGGACACGTCCCCGCACATCTATGCGGTGGCCCAGGCCGCCTACCGCAGCCTGCTGATGAGCCGCCAGGGCCAGGCAGTGGTGCTGGGGGGCGG